GGTTAGTGTTGGGGTTACAGGGAGGGTTAGTGTTGGGGCTACAGGGAGGGTTAGTGTTGGGGCTACAGGGAGGGCTAGTGTTGGGGCTACAGGGAGGGCTAGTGTTGGGGCTACAGGGAGGGCTAGTGTTTGGGCTACAGGGAGGGCTAGTGTTTGGGCTACAGGGAGGGAGGGTCAGTGATGGGATTGAGGGTTGGTGTTAGGGTTACAGATAGGGTTTAGGAAAGGGGGCTTTAGGATTAGGTTATCACTACTGGAACAAATTTCCTGGCGTTGAAAGCTAACGCATCACCTGCAGACAACCTCTGACTGACCCAACTCAGGGAAAAGATGAACCATTTTGTGGTTGAATTTTATTGAAGATCTTCTGACCTCCATTCATGTCTATATCTACTCTGAAAGGTGGAGAAGACACGGACTAAGGAACTCGTCTCGGGGAAATTGGAGATGAGGTGACTGTAGATACCGGAGGGCGATGAATAATTGGCAATGATCTGCTCTTGGCTGGTGTGCACATAAACATGAACGCTCAGCTGACCAGTCGTCTATGCCCTTGGAGAGCGAAGGAGGGGCCAGACAATGCAACAGATATGCGAAGCAAATGGAGTTTACAAACCTTTCCAACCAATCACGTCCCCCGCAGACCAGTCAGCTGAGGCTGCGTTACATAGATATGTGTTTCGGTCACCTGATTCGGCCGGACAGCAAAACGTTCATCTCCATGGACACCTAAATGACAAAAACTGATGAAAAAAATGCATGGTCCAGTTGACTTGCCTTGAAGACCAAGGATAGAAGTTTCCAGAGGCAAATACTCCACACCCAGGGGTGCTGCTGGACAGCGACTGACCGCGAGGGCCTGCGACACATCCACCTCCAACATATTGAATATAAAATGCTATACAATAATACAGAATATAAAAATTAGGCATTACCTCGCCATTCTCAGCTCCCAACACACACAACAGACAGTTTTGGTGGAAGCAGAAGATGGTTCTGCTGTTGACATGCAACTGGACTACAACAAAATGGCCGACACGCTTCAGCTTTCAAGGCAAAGCCTTTAAAAAAAACATATTAACCCCTAAAACTGCCATTTAATTCTAATACCGCGATTTTCTTCAGCCTATGCCACGCGAATATCTCATATAAAACGTACAAATTAAATAATCAGGCTAGTGGGCTACAATAAAATGGCTTCCAAGCGCCGGGCAGCAAAGACAAATGACGCGCCCTCTAGTGCCCGTTATGGGACTAGAGATAAAACAGCCCCGCCCATTACCTGATTCCCCCTCAGCGCAGTGTTTTGCGACAGCACAACCGGTCGCCTAGCAACCGTGGAACGCACAAACCAGAAGTGTATTTGCCACCGAGCGGAAGTAAAGGGATTTTTTTTTTTTTGTTCAGTGAAATTGGTGAAGATAGAGAGGAGCTGATGTGACCCTCCTGGGTGAGGGCCACACTGGTACACAGTGTATGCACTGATATGGCTTCTGCACTGATACACCTTGTGTGTCCAGGGAGAGGGTTATGAAAGGATGTAATATAGAGCCACAATGTGAATGTACTCATCGTTTATTTTACAGCAGAACCTGGTCACTGGAGGTGGACCTGAGGAGCGGGGCTGCCCATGCAGAAGACTGGAGGACTCATGGTGCGTGGGACGAAGAATACATCAACACAGCATGGAGTATGGAATCACGTGGTTGGGGTGCCTTTGCAGCACTGGGGGCTCCCATTCTGTTTCTTTAAGAAGTCTCTCTTCATGAGTGAGGTGGAGGAATCGGAGATCCTCGGGGGTCTCCATTGCTCATCATGTTCTTGTACTAAAACCTATGTACGCCATTTGGAAGGTCTCCATTGCTCACCACGTTCTTCCATTGAAACTTATCTACAGCATACAGAAGGTCACTATTGCGCATCATGTTCATCCATTGAAACCTATCTAGAGTATTTGGGAGGTCATCAGGGGTGATCATGTTCTTCCAATGACGCTTATCTACAGCACTTAGAAAGTTACATAGTATTTGGGGTTGAATAAAGACATACGTCCATCAAGTCCAACCCATATAGGTCCACGCATCATCTCATTCTTAGGGATACTGGTATCCCTGGATATTACGGTCCCTCAAGAAATTGTTCAAACGTTTCTTGAACAAATCTACACTCTTGGCTGAAATCACTGCCGATGGCAGCGAGTTCCAGACCTTAACCGCTCTTACTGTAAAGAACCCTCTTCGCCCATTGTGCTGGAATTTTTTCTCCACCAACTTTAGGTGGTGGCCTCTAGTCTTTGTAATGGAGTTAATCTCAAACAGTTACCATTGCTTAACATGATCACCCATGGAAACTTACCTACATCTTTTGGAAGGTCACCAGTGCCCATCATGTTTATCCATATAATCTTATCTACAACATTTACATGTTCTTCCAATGAAACCTATGTACACCATTTGGAAGGTCACCATTGCTCATCGTGTTTTTCCAATAAGACATATCTACAACATTTAGAAGGTTGTTGTTACTCATAATGTTCATCCATGGAAACTTATCTACAGCATCCTGGAAGTTCATCATTGCTCAGCATGTTCTTCCACTGAAACTTATCTAAAACATTTAGAAAGTCACCATTATTCATTATGTTCTTCTACTGAACCTATGTACACCATTTGGAAGGTCACCATTGCTCATTATGTTCTTCTACTGGAACTTATCTACAGCGTATGGAAGGTCACTATTGCGCATCATGTTCATCCATTGAAACCTATCTAAAGTATTACGAAGGTTACCAGTGCTGATCATGTTCTTCCAATGAAGCTTATATACAGCACTTAGAAAGTCTACATTGCTTAGTATGATCATCCATGGAAACCTATCTACAGCTTTTGGAAGGTCACCAGTGCCCATCATATTTATCCATGGAAACGTATCTACAACATTTACATGTTCTTCTCATAAAACCTATGTACAGCATTTGGAAGGTCACCATTGCTCATCATGTTCTTCCACTAGAACATATCTACAGCATTTAGGTCACCACTGCTCATCATGTTCTTCCACTAAGACATATCTACAGCATTTAGGTCACCATTGCTCATCATGTTCTTCCACTAGAACATATCTACAGCATTTAGGTCACCATTGCTCATTATGTTCTTCCACTAGAGCATATCTACAGCATTTAGGTCACCATTGCTCATTATGTTTTTCCACTAGAACATATCTACAGCATTTAGGTCACCATTGCTCATCATGTTCTTCCACTAGAACATATCTACAGCATTTAGGTCACCATTGCTCATTATGTTCTTCCACTAGAACATATCTACAGCATTTAGGTCACCATTGCTCATCATGTTCTTCCACTAAGACATATCTACAGCATTTAGGTCACCATTGCTCATCATGTTCTTCCACTAAGACATATCTACAGCATTTAGGTCACCATTGCTCATCATGTTCTTCCACTAAGACATATTTACAGCATTTGGGTCACCATTGTTCATCATGTTCTTCCACTAAGACATATCTACAGCATTTAGGTCACCATTGCTCATCATGTTCTTCCACTAGAACGTATCTACAGCATTTAGGTCACCATTGCTCATCATGTTCTTCCACTAAGACATATCTACAGCATTTAGGTCACCATTGCTCATTATGTTCTTCCACTAGAACATATCTACAGCATTTAGGTCACCATTGCTCATCATGTTCTTCCACTAGAACGCATCTACAGCATTTAGGTCACCATTGCTCATTATGTTCTTCCACTAGAACATATCTACAGCATTTAGGTCACCATTGCTCATCATGTTCTTCCACTAGAACGCATCTACAGCATTTAGGTCACCATTGCTCATCATGTTCTTCCACTAGAACGCATCTACAGCATTTAGGTCACCATTGCTCATCATGTCCTTTCACTAGAACGTATCTACAGCATTTAGGTCACCATTGCTCAACATGTTCAGCCACTGAAACCTATCTACAGCATTTGGAAGGTCACCAATGTTTTGTCATGTTAATTTATGGAAAACTATCTACAGCTTTTCGAAGGTCACCATTATTCCTCATGTTCATCGACTTAAATTCATCGACAGCATATAAATGCAATGGTTGTCCATGAAGCCTGTACCTGTTCCCATAAAGCTAAGTTGGTGCCTAGTGTTGTCCATCCAAGACATGCATGGGGAAAGCCTGCAGACTATGGTTCCTGCTAACAGTAGGTAGGACCATCAGTTCATACAGATGATGCATCAAACAAATTATTAGAAATAATGATAACGAGATCTCCAAAGATAAAGATTGCGGTGGCCTTTCTTTTCTATGAGTTAGGAACATATGAGCTTCAATCAAATATTTGCTGAGGAATTCCATACAGGGGTGTGTGGACTACCCCCCAAGAAGATAATGAAACAGTGGGCTTGCTGACGCATATATTCATTACCCCACTGAGAAAGTGTTAAACATAATAAAACATATTTTAAAAAAGCATATACAAAAAAGCACATGTGCGCCTGATAAGAACTAACTCCCTTCCAAAAATTGTTTGGGCCCCCCTGACCTTGTCAAAAGTTATTTGGTGGCACTAGATACCTTGCCGATCTGCTTTTTATATTGATCTCAGACCCCGTCCAGCTCATCTCCTTATTGGTTATCAGCAACTCGAATCTTGCAGAGCTTTCATGCCATCCGCTGTGGAGGGACTGGAGTCCGTTTGAGGGGCTAGTTCATCTTTATAAATAAGATTTGCAGTGCGGTCAGGGGGCCCGGGAGTTTCCTTTAACCCTTTCATTGCTAGGGGCGTAAGCACCACATCCGTGGCAGCACTGATCTGTAAACTGACTCAAGCCGCCATGGATATCCCAGGTGAGCGGGAGAAGAAGGGGGTTCAGGCACGATATGTGGAGTGTGGTGTGTTACATTACCTGAGTGATAGGCAGCACCCTGCATATGAGCTAGGATGGATGGAACTTAAGCTCGCCCCCCATCATCCCAGGAACAAGTGTGGGTTTGCTGTATTGCTCGCCCACAAATCCGCACATGTGCAGTATTCGCGTGGCCATCCTCCCATTAAGGGGAACACTGCACATGTGCGGATTTGTGGGCAAGCAATTCCTGTGATGATGGGGGCGCTCAACGTTCCATCCATCCGAGTTCTTATGCAGGATGGGCCGATCACACAGAATAAGATCACCCAGGTAAAGTAGCACATCCCACCTGAACCCCTGTCTTCCCCCACCATGTATCCTGGGCTCCCCTGAGCATCCCTCTTGGGATGTCCATGGCTGGTGTCAGCAGGGAGACCAGTGAACATCCGTTTTCTGATCGTCGGGTAGTACGAAACTGGAAGGTTAACCTCTGGGTCCAGCCCTGTGATTCCACGCTGTGGCCGTGGAAGAAGCGAATGGATTGCGATCTGTGCGCGTTTAGCTAAATAATAGTGCGGAGGTGACAGGGTTCTAATAGACCCCTGATGTCTACTCAAAGAGAACCTTCCGATGTGCTTTTGTTAGCCCCCTGTGTAATAGCAATAAAGTTTAACAAAAATTAAAAGTTCATAATATAGAAAAATAACCCCAAAAATGTGTACAGCTCCCTCCCTGTTGTACACACACATACAAAAGTTGGACAGTGTATGACGCTGATTTTAAGGTAGTTTCCTCTCCAACATGACAACTGACAAGGTCCACTTATAACACCGTTTGGGTTAAAAGTCTCTGGTACGTAGTGCCCCTTTAAGGATCTGGCTGGCTTTGTCTGATTGGACAATCCTCCAGAAGGCGACAAGGAGCTGTTTATTCCAGAGCCACCACTAGAGGGTGACAGTCTGTCCTGTGAGAGCAGGAAGTGTCTTCAGTGCAGGAGGAAGTGTCCTCAGTTCAGGCAGAGTGGCGGCCATATTGTTGTAGCCCATGCTTTAAACTTGTTACATCTCGCTAAGTAAACTAGAAAGTGTTTTGCTTACCAATGGCCTGGATTCAGTTGAACTTCAGGAAACATGCTGTTCAGCTCCCACAAATTGAAGTAATTCTATAGCTATGTGTTTGTTGTTCAATGCAGTGAGAGTGTCGGCCATTTTGTTGTAGCCCAAAGAAAGGAGGGCAGCTCTTTTCCAGCTACAAACCTGGCAGGAGAGTGTGTGTCCAAAGAGGAGGTAATAATGTCTTCTTATTATGAGAGAAGGGGATCCTGAGGAAGGAGGGGGAGGTCATGTGATCATGTGGGTCAGGTCACGTGTCCTCTATACAGCACACAGTCAGGGGTCAGCTGGCTCTGCGCTGGGGGAATTGGTCTCCTCTGGTGTGTTGGGGTCTCTCTATAAGAGAAATATCATCAATGTCCTCTCTGCTTTCCCCTCCTTCAATTTACTATCTTACTTGTGGTGGCTGCAGGGGACCGTCGGAGATCTGTGCACTTCCAAGGTGATCCCCACAAGCCCCGGAGTGGTTATGATTAAGCACAACGTGCTTGCAGTGAAATAATTGCTTCCATTTCCCATAGAGGATAAATATCATCATCGCATATCCTGCAATTGGTCGCTTTGCATCTCATATACATTCCAGTTATCACTAGAGGCAGCTTAACCCGTCTTATTCCTAGTGAGAAATGACCATTAGGTTAGGAATAACACCCGCTCCCCCATTCTGATTAGATACCTTCAAGAACCTGTTACTTATGTAGCCACCAGGTTGACCGTCACCCACCGCTAGCCTTGATGGGTACCAAAGAGCCAAGCTTGGCATCTGCCAAACTCCGGGGTGCTGCTTAATTCAGTGTACTTGTCTTCGGGATATTGTTCTTTTCAGACCACCATCAAAGCACCAACCTGGACGTCATGATGGAGAACCGGCCGCCCCTCACATCACCGGGTAAGAGGAGACTTTCATTTCTTGAGTATTGAGGATCCCCCTAGATACACACATCCTCTGATATAAAGACATAGAAACAATGTATTCAGTCAGTGTGTGTGTTTCCTACAGATGGATCCAGGAACAGGAATACCCCAGAGAGATGTCCCCATCCTCTGTATTCCCCGGATTCCACACGGGAACATCAGGAGATCCCTCAGGAACATCAGGAGATCCCTCAGGAACATCAGGAGATCCCTCAGGAACATCATGAGATCCCTCAGGCCCGTCTTCTGTATTCCGAGGACTCCATGGAGGAACATCAGGTAGATAACAATAAATGTCCTGCATACATTCTCATCTCTGATAACACCAGGCAAAATGTTTTTGTTTAATTTTGGACAAGGATGAGAACCTTTTTCGGGTTTTTATTGTTTATGCAGAAGGAGTGACAGCACTAGGACAGGAGGACAGAGTGCTGTAGCTCCTTCATTGTCCAACGAGAAAGCTTGAGGTGTGTTCTTGTCCAAGCTAAGGTGTTGCTACTGCACTGGAGATTGAAGACCTGCCTATGCTTTTTAGGCAAGAATACCTGCCGAACAGCACCAGAAATCTTTCAGCAGCTTAAAGAGTCCCCCTAGGAGTATCTCAGCTGTTTGCCTGGAGTTCAGCTTTAGTCTCTAACAAGAAATCAAGCTATCATTGAGATGAATGTGTCCTATGCAGGTTGATGGCCTGGTGGTCGTTAAAGTGGAAGAAGACGAGATGTGCATGACCGGGGAAGAGTCGGAGGAGGAGGACAGACACATAGTGATTAAAGAGGAGGACGTTCCTGTAAAGATCAGCAAAGGTGAGTCATAATATATCAATACATTTTGGAACAGAAGACTTTATTTCACTTTTTAAAGCTGAATTCTGGGCACAAAACATTCATATCTAATATAGGGGAAGAGAACACTGAAGTGGGATAAGCTGGTCAGTTGAAGGATTGTCTTGAATGAGTTGGAGAAGGAGGATAGCTGGGTCATCTGTAATAATCATAGGTGGGGGTAGATGAACGTTGAAGGAGCTCAGGATGTGGACTACTTTGAATGGTTCATGAAAGGGATTAGCGGCACACGTCAAATGTTTGGAGTGTGGATCACCTTGTTCGGAAGGTAATGCATATCTGTTTCTATATTTGTTTCCTACAGATGGACCGAGTAACAAAAACACCCCAGAGAGATGTCCTCGTCCTCTGTATTCCCGGGATTCCACACAGGAACATCAGGAGATCCCTCAGACCCATCCTCTGTATTCCCGGGATTCCAAACGGGAACGTCAGGGGATCCCTCAGGCCCGTCCTCTGTATTCCCGGGATTCCAAACAGGAACATCAAAAGATTCCTCAAACCCCTCCTCTGTATTCCCGGGATTCCACAAAGGAACATCAGGAGATCCCTCAGGACCATCAGGTAGACAGACGTTCAGGCTTATGAAAATAAAGCTCAATTTACGTATTCCATCTTCTCGACAATAAGTTCAAACATCGGTCATTTATTATTATTTGGTTTTGATGGAGGGTGGTCAGGTTTTATTGATGTATGTGATCTTGTTGAGAAGACTTCTTATGCCAGTGATGGTGGATTCCAAAATAGTAGATCCGTCCAAGTGTGCATTAGAAGCTGCAGCAACTCAGGAATAAACAGGGTTGTAGTGTGGTCCAATCACCAAATCGCTCAGCATCTGGGGTCTGTATAAGGACTTCTTTTGAAGTCAGATTTTTGACGTTGACTCATAGGAGTGTGTGCTTGGTCCTGTTCTACCTTTGTCTGGATGGTGGCGTGATTTCTGTTGGTGGCTCTTTCCAGTTATCACATTCTGTATCTATACTATTCTTTTATGTTTTGTGTTATTCAGGACAAAAGTCTCATTAATATTAAAACTGAACCAGGGGGCAATGAAGATCCATCTGTGATGGGTGACGAGTCGTGTAAGGAGGAGGAGTGTTCAGGTGAGTAATAAACACTAAATCCAGAAAAGAGTCCCAGATTCTCCTTGTTCAGTCACTACAACAATCTCTTCTTCTCCCCCCTCCTCTGTCAGTAGACAGTAATGGGGGGACGGAATGTTTCTAGTGGGGGGGAGTCAGGAGCCATCAGCCTCTATTACTCTCCTTCTCACATCCTGTCATTTACATTGTCTGTACTGCATACTTATGGATGATATATTTTTGGGGTATATTTTGTTTTGTGTTCCTCTGGAATGTTGTGTACTTTTTGAATTCTAGACTGAAATGGGTGGTAGGTCTTTTCCTCTCATACCATCAAAGGTCAGCACATGTGATATATGACCCCAGAATATCTTTATTAACAGACCCTGTAGACACCATAGTGACGCACAGAAATGTCAAGGTTGAGGAGGATGAAATCAGATGTGTGAAGATCGAAGATGATCAAATTGCTGTAGAGATCAGCACAGGTGAGTAATAAACACTAAATCCAGAGAAGAGTCCCAGATTCTCCTTGTTCAGTCCCTACAACAATCTCTTCTTCTCCCCCCTCCTCTGTCAGTACACAGTAATGGGGGGATCAAATGTTTCTAGTGGGGGGAGTCAGGAGCCATCAGCCTCTATTAGACTCAGACTCTCCTCCTCACATCATGTCATTGTGTGTTACTAGCTAAGAGACGTGACCAGTCTCCCCCACACACACTCTCTGGGGTCTCTCATAATCTGCTCATGCTCATGGTGCTCATGCTCATCTTTATTCACAGACCCCAGAGACACACAGAGAGATGTCAGAGCTGACCTGACCAGCTTTGTTTTCTGGTTTCCATAATCTCCCATGACCTTCTTGATTTTCTTTTTACTTTGTACTGGTTTGTTGCTTCTCGCCCCTTTCAGGAGGACATAACCCATAAGGTAGGGATGACTCTTGTCCAGTCATCCCAGGTTTCTACTGAGCCCCCTAATAAACTCACCAGAAAGAGATTTCAAGGTGCATTAATAAGGGTGCACGAATATGTGAGTAGATCTTTCACTTGCCCCGCGTTCTTCTTTAAACCTTTCCCCTATTTTGCGTTCCCACCAGATGGACGATACAGAAGGTACAATATGAAGAGACATTCCATGTCATCTCCAGACGATGAAATAGATGACAGCTCAGCAGATTCCCCAGGAGAAAACCCCACGGGCCCAAATCTGGGTTCAGTGCCTCGCCATGCCAATTCGTCATCTGATGCCTCTACCCACGAGGGGACCTTTCCCAATCCCACCGAGACCACAGCTCATTATACATCTGGCCGATTTCCCAAAAAGGTCCCTTGTCCTGAGTGTGGTAAATGTTTTACTTGGAAGTCAAGTCTGGTCAAGCATCAGAGGTCGCACACGGGAGAAAAGCCCTATTCCTGTTCAGAATGCGGGAAATGTTTTGTTTACAAACCGGACCTTGTCGTACATGAAAGAGCCCACAGGGGCGAGAGGCCGTTTGCCTGCTCTGAGTGCGGAAAAAGCTTTGCTAAGAAATTTTGTCTTGTCCAACATCAGAGGACTCACACGGCAGAGAAGCCCTATGCCTGTCCCGAGTGTGGGAAATGTTTCATGACAAAAGCTTGCCTTTTCCAACATCAGAGGTCTCACAGCGAGGAGAAGCGGTATTCATGTTCAGAGTGCGGGAAGTGCTTCAGACACAACTCGGATCTTCTCAAACATCGCAGAACGCACACGGGGGAAAAGCCTTATTCCTGTTCTGAATGCGGAAAAGGCTTTTCGGTGAAGGCAACTCTTGTTCACCATCAGAGAAGACACAGAGGGGAGAAGCCTTATTCGTGTCCAGAGTGCGGTAAATGCTTTGTGCAGAAGTCGGACCTTGATAGGCATTATCTCATCCACACTGGCGAGCGACCGTTCTCGTGTCTTGAATGTGGGAAGTGTTTTACACAAAGGTCGACTCTGGTGGAGCATCGTAGAATTCACTCAGGAGAGAAGCCCTATGCGTGTTCCGAGTGTGGAAAATGCTTTGCGCAAAGAGGGCAACTTGTTGCACATGAACGGATTCACGGACGAGAAACTGCTGTTGTAGTCTGAAAGAGGAAAACCTTTAATATGCCACCTATCTTTTCTGGACCATCAATGTATCTATAGACAGGAATAAATGCTCCCAGTAAGCCTGTCCAATATGAGTAATGGCTTCTGGGTAAGGCCATATTTGATGGCCCCCTCTTAGTGACCCTTTGAAATTTTATCCTTGGTTAAGCCTTTACACCAACCCCTGATTCGGAAATGTTTGGCCTACTGTGGTCTACTGGCTCCCCTTTTGTGGTGGGCTTTTTGTTCTACTGAATTTGTGAAGCTCCATGAAAGTGGCTTGATTGGAGTAGACATTTGAGTCTTAGGCTGGGCATTATCTTGGAAAACATTTGCAGATAAGCATTCCAAAAAATAAGGTGCTGAAGGCTCTCTCATGGTGCTTCACGTTCCTATGTAACCACCAGCTCCATGTTAATAAGATTCTGTAAGACAAGACAATAGTTTCTTTACAGAGAACCCAGAGAGTGTGTGTGGGGGGGGGACTGGTCACGTCTCTTGGCTGGTAACACACAATGACATGATGTGAGGAGGAGAGCCGGAGTCTAATAGATGCTGATGGCTCCTGACTTTCTTGGGGCTTCGGGTGGTGAGATGCCTTCACCATAGTTCTATGTTCTTTCCAACAACCTAGGCAACTACAATGTTACGCTCACGTGCTGGGGTCTAGTTATATAATTGGGAAATTTCCACCTATGGGGGAGTGACACCATTGTTGTGGGAAGGGATGGAGGAACCAACTACTGTGGGGAGGTTTCGTCATTGAGTCTTCAAAAGGGTTCCAAGGTGGGAAATCCAACCCTACAATGCCAGTCAAAAAGTAGCTATAGTGGGGATTGAAAATCCTGAAGAGTAAAGCACATAATAGGCCAGATATTACATCATATCTTCCAGGTATAGCCTATAGCTACTTTTTGACTGGCATTGTAGGGTTGGATTTCCCACCTTGGACACCTTTTGAAGACTTAATGATGAAACTTCCCCACAGTAGCTGGTTCCTCCTTCCCCTCCCACAACAATGCTGTCACTCTCCCATTGGTGGAATCTTCCCAATTATTTATTTACACACCAGCAAGGGAACATAACATTGTCCAGGCTTGTAATTGCCTTGGTTGTTGGAAAGAACATAAAACTATGGTGAAGGCATCTCACCACCCGAAGCCCCAAGAAAGTAAGGAGCAATCAGCCTCTATTAGACTCCGGCTCTCCTCCTCACTTCATGTCATTGTGTTACCAGCCAAGAGATGCAGACATCTCAACTCTCCCGGAAGCTCCGGGAGTCTCCCGCTAATGTGACCAGTCTCCCCCCACACACTCTCTCTGGGGTCTCTCATACATCTCAGTACAGAGGGCTTCACTCTCATCTTCATTCACAGACACCAGAGACGCTCAAAGTGATGTAAATGCTGACCCGGGAGACCCTATGTGCCCAGTGGGGGAGTCAGGAGCCATCAGTCTCCTTGTTCAGTCCCTACAACAATCTCTTCCTCTCCCCCCTCCTCTGTCAGTAGACAGTAATGGGGGGACAGTATCTGTTTAGTGGGCGGAGTCAGGAGCCATTAGACTTCGGCTCTCCTCCTCACATCATGTCATTGTGTGTTACCAGCCAAGAGACATAACCAATCTCCCCCCCACACACACTCTCTGGGGTCTCTCTCACATCTGCTCATGCTCATCTTTATTCACAGACCCCAGAGACACAAGAGTGTGAATAGTAAAGCACATAATAGGCCAGACATTACGTCATATCTTCCAGGTATAGCTGGAATGCTTCATCGGCTAATGTTCTGCGAATGTGGGAAATGGAACCATCTGTAATTGGTCACAAGATCCAATGTACATTATTAGTAAACCGCCATCGACTCTAAAATCACGATGTTGCTTGGATTAGTTACATTGTTGTCGAAAATCTGGTAATGTGAATAAAGCAAAAAGGAAGAAAAACATTAAAAGTAATAAAATGTGTTTCATCCTTAAAAATAAAATTGATTAAAAAAATATATATACACATATTGGACTGATGTTGCCTATGTGTCATAAAGAAAAGGTGAACATAGGTTGCCAACATGGCATACATCTTTTCATCATTGAAGGGGTTGAAACGGAAGACTGCATCGTAACCCAGGACTGGACGAATCCCAGGAGCCAAGTCGCCAATGTTCCTTAAAAATGACAGCCGGCGCCAAACTTTTGAGGTGTTCTCTGGTTGTTGTCAATGGAGCTGGCTCCTGGGTTGGACAGACCGTCTCCTGAATTCCATATTGATTTGTCCACCCCTGTCGGTAACCAGTAGTATGCCATGTATAAAGGCTCGGTATGAACCTTCTGATTAACACACGCACACAATGCTTAAAGGAGAACTATGGGGTTAAGGCTTTTCCTCATAGTTCTCCTTAGGGTAACGGGCGGACACAAATTAGCGTCCTCCCGTCACCCTAAGCTCAGTATATCGCGAGCTACAGCTCGCGGTATACTGAGACGCTGCAGCTGAAGCAAATCCCGACAATTATGTCTGGATCCGCCCAGCTGCGTGAGTGACAGCTGGCTCTGCCTCTAGATAGGCAGAGCCAGCTGTCACTCACGCAGCTGGGCGGATCCAGACATAATTGTCGGGATTTGCTTCAGCTGCAGCGTCTCAGTATACCGCGAGCTGTAGCTCGCGATATACTGAGCTTAGGGTGACGGGAGGACGCTAATTTGTGTCCGCCCGTTACCCTAAGGAGAACTATGAGGTGAGTGAAAAGCACTCACCTCATAGTTCTCCTTTAAGAACACACAGTTACAGAAACTCTTATGAGCATTGACTACCACAAAAGTTGATGGGTACAGAAACCCTTCACCATGCCATTCAAAACCAAAAAAAAAGCTTTGACTGGAGATACCCTTTAAGCTCGTTGAATTGGCCATTAAGGGCCAATTAGAAAAGGGTAGTAACGTCCATTCATACTGCTCTATATCTATGCTGCCGGCCCAAAAAACAAGTCACACTCTAATATTTCATTGGACCGCCTTTAGCTTTGATTACGGCACACATTCAAGCTTTTCATTGTTTTGAAAAGCTTATACAAAGTCACAACATTTATTTCCATCCAGAGTTGTATTCATTTTTTCGCAAGATCTTGTAGTGATGATGGGTGAGTCGGACCATGGCGTAAAGTCTTCTCCAGCACATCCCAAAGATTCTCAATGGGGTTAAGGTCTGGACTCTGTGGTGGCCACGCCATGTGCGACAATGACGTCTCATGCTCCCTGAATCCTGGCATTGTCAGCTTGGAATATGCCTAATGTGCCATCAGGGAAGAAGAAACCTGGTCATTTTGTATATTCAGGTTGGCAGCTGACCTAATTTTCGGGTCCATAACGTTGCTGAACCTAGACCTGAGCAACCGAAGCAACCACAGATCATAACACTGCCCGAAATCCAGGTGGTGACTTGTTTTCCTGGCTGGGCAGTGTATATCTAATCAGCTTCTATAAATGAATTAACCTCCTTCCTACTGACTTGTGATTGTCCACAATTAGGTCTCAGCATTGAGTGGGCTTGAGTGATCAGAAAGGTGTGAGGATGTCGGTATGATTGATCGATTATTGATAACTGTGAGAGATGTGTTGTCTGTGTTAAGAACCCGTGTGTTGACGGACACCTCTTTTATCAGAGGACACCTGAAGTAAGCTAAAAGTTAGTTGAGCTCCACCAGTATGCCATGGCAGACACTTCTAGGTACCTTCAGAGCTTAGCTGTCCTTCTGAGCTCCCTGGCAAGTCACAAAACACACAATGGTGTGTGAGGACACCAAGAACCTCCAGGTTGACAGGAACAGAGTTGTCCATTATGGCAGGGAGATCTCAATGTTGGAGTATCCAAGACATAAATGAAGGTAGAGGCTGAACAGAATCATAGGTGGACCAGAGTCCACCTCTGGCTAAAATATTACTTTGTGGGCTGGCAAAGTTTAGCACAATAACACAGAAGGTTCTAACCAAGATGGAGGATCTAACAGAAAATTCAGTCTTGGTTTCCTTCAAGATGTGTTGTAAGTGATGGTGGAAACGTCCACCAAAGGACTTGAGCACATGGAGCAAGGTTCACTTGTGTCATTACCTTTGCCATACAAGCCACAGCATACATCTGCCTCCATGGCCAACAACCTTTGTACGTGGAAGGTGTATGGCTCCACTGGGTTCGACCAACTCATTTCTGTTGCAGGGTTTGACTGCTCTTGTTTTAATAGCAGCCTTGCATGATTTTACAGGGAACACAATTTGAGCTGTTGACCCTAGTGACCAGTACAATGCTCTGATTCATGTAACTGGGACAACAAAACTTAGACCCAACTGGTGACTGCTTACATCAGCTCTACGTTGGTTCCTGGTTCCCCTTTATAAACACCGCGGACATCCATCTACGACAACCCCAAAAACAAACACCTTGACAGACATCAGCTCAACCACACCCGCTAGAGGCTCTCTCCTTGCCCTGAGTGTGAGAAGTGCTTTATGCAGAAGTCAGCCCTTGCCCAGTACAAGAAGACCCCACGGAAGTGAAGAAATATTCTTGTCCCCGGTGTGGAAAGGCCTTGCCCAGAAGTCAGGCCATGAAAGAGACTTCACCACCATGTAGAGAGGCTTCAAGCAAGGCTTCCTTGAGTTTTATCTAACTCAGGCCATAAAAGAGACTTCACCACCATGGAGAGAGGCTTCAAGCAAGGCTTCCTTGATCTACAGTATATCCAAGTCAGGCCATGGAAGAGACTTCACCACAATGGAGAGAGGCTTCAAGCAAGGCTTCCTTGAGCTATATCTAAGTCAGGCCATGGAAGAGACTTCACCACCATGGAGAGAGGCTTCAAGCAAGGCTTCCTTGAGTTATATCTAAGTCAGGCCATGGAAGAGACTTCACCACCATGTAGAGAGGCTTCAAGCATGGCTTCCTTGAGCTATATCTGAGTCAG